TATAGTTCTCTCCTGACTTATTCAAACTTTGACGTGTTTACAAAGCAGTCAGATCAACAGAGTTAATGAAATACTACTTCACAGACAAATCTTGGAAGTATTTGAAAACTCTTTACCCATTTTATTTTTGTTCTTAGATACAAGRACAACATTTTTAAAAAGTTTAAAAGTACTTCTTTTTAGGCAATTGATGACTTCCATAATATGAACACAATTTCAGAACATGAACACAGCTTAGCAGCAAGAACAGAACTAACATCTCCCAAAGAGCCTTATGTTCTTTCCAATGAAAAAGAAACATAGGAGGTATGCTATACAGAGGGCCACATAAACACAAGCAGTCAGCAGCCTCTTTAGCAGCTCCCGATACAACATTGATGATATTATTTCCTATAGTAAATTTCCAAAGAGTGGCGCAGCATATTTTCAGCCTGATAAAAGGCTGAAGTAAAAGTCCAAGTAAAAAAGAGGAATAATCAGCTACAGAAACCCAACCTAGACATAGGCACACAATGCTAGASCATCTCCTTTCAGAGGAGAGGAGATAATTTTATTCTCTTGACAGAGGCTTTCCCAGAAACTAGTTGCCTGGCTAAGGCTGGAAGGATATTTACTCCTCTTGCTTGCTCCAAGTTATGGTGAGGCAAGTTACCCAAGATTTTGTTATGTAAAGGAGAAATGTACTTACCACAGAAGTTTCAAAATGCTTAAAATATACATTTTAAACATCTTTATGGAACTAAATTTACATTTACTGTAATTTATATTATCTGATAATTGTTAAAGAAGTGAAAACTCAAATACTTAAGCAAGGACTACAAAATGAGTGTTAAAAGATAATTAAAAGTAATTTTTGGTGACAGCATGGATGTAAATATTTCTTTAAAGAAGGCTCAAATCCGATTAAGTACTGTTTGTTCAACATATTAATCTCTTATGCAACCTATTAGCATTGAAACTGGCAAGAAATATGCTTCCATAATTTTTCTGGCAATTGACTTGAATTCCCACAATATTCTTTGGAGCTGCAGAATTATTTAAACAAGAGTATTCCACTTCATGAAGATGTAGAAAGTTCATCTGACAAAATAAATCACRCAAGTTACTCTGATCACACGAGATATTTTCTCTCACTCTTATCATTTTTAATTTAACTTTAAAGTTTTTAGGATGCAAAGTTGCAAYAAACAAAACCTGCAGATACTGGTACACCACAACAGCTAATTGAAATGGATTAGAACTGAAATTCTAATTCCACTAAATCATTTGCTACTTAAACCTATTTTAAATTGAAGTCTTATCCTCCCTTCATTTCTCCTAGCAAATCAGCACAGACAGCTGCTCTTATTATTCCACTGAATCCATCAGGCATACAAGAAATATACGTAGCAAGCATCCTGGAGGATTATACAGGTCAATATTTTGCCTTTTGCAACACGACTCTGAATAATGGCAACAGGTTTTAGATTAAGAAATATGCAATGAGCATGCCTCATTTATTTCTGATTAATCCTAGATATCTGTTTATGTAGTTAATAAAGCAAAACAATACTTCATAATTTGTTTACAGATGCCACAGCTGGAGACTTCTTTTGCCTGTTAGGTTTTTAAACTGAGCAGACTATAAGAGCTAGTGATCAAAGACAGAGCAGTATCCCATACTCTAGTTTAAAGGTTCATTATCTTTGTCATTAGAACTACTCAGTGTTACAATTGTTTGTTTTTAAAATCCTGTTGCTACAAGAACATCACACATCATTTATACTTAAAGTGATTACCTTACTGGTCAGACAGACAGGTTATCAATATTAAGTCTAATTGAACAGGACAAATTGCATGTCACACCTGCTGACCTTTTCAGAGTTCCCTTTGTAATCTGATGTTCCTGCTGGTATCTATCTTCTTAAATACCATGATGTACCAAAACTAATGGAAAACATCCTGCAAACTGAGGATGTCTCCTTTTCAGTCTGCTGGGCCCAGGCTTGAGAGAAAGCAGTACAAAACACACACAAAAGATCTAGAAACACTTTTGTAGTCTTACAGAACTCGTACACTAGCACCACTTTTTTCCTTTCATCTTTTCACTTAAACAGCTTGAACCAGTTAATCAGAAGAGATGATGGCATCTCTCTCCGCATTGTAGCGGTGGATACCTTTCAAGAAGTCTATGCTAAACTCCAGTCTTCATCCTAAACTATTTACATTTGAGTTACCTAACTAAACTGGTTTGGTTCATGTAATGTTGCATCAAACTCTTCTTCCAGTTGAAAAAATGTTTTGTTAATCCCAGTGATGAATAGGGTTGTGTTTTCATGTTAGTGTTAAAATTATAAATGAAAGGAAAATATTCCAGTCAAATCCTAGAAAYAGATAAATAATTTCTACTAGACCTAGCTGTATAACTCTTGTAGAAGAGGACTAGCATACAGATGCAAATAAAAAGCCATGCAAAAGAAAGCTGGACAAGAGGCTCTACAGAAATAACTTGACTATTCATTACTTACAGTTTGAGGTCATTGAGGGTCATATCCTAACATATGAGGTGAAATAACATAGGTATACCAAGTTAATTCCTTACTTCAACATGCATGAAAAAAAGGTAGAAACCATGCTTTATGAACTGGAGTAATTTTGCAAACTGAGGTACATTTGCATTGAGGAAGAATAACTACTATTTTTTTCCAGTACATAATTATACTCAAGGAAACCCAARTAATTATAAAGCAAAGTGTCTTTGACCAGATATTAGACTTTAATGAGCAGAATTCAGAARTTATAGGTTTCTGGAGTAATTGGGAGTGGAAAAGGTACAAGATACATTTTGTCAACTGATATGCAAGTTGCCAATTAAAATGTGACTCCATCAAAAACAAAATCAACTTATAATCACCTCATTGCTATTTTGTAGAGTGCGTTCAATAAATCCAGTGATCTCCTGCGTCAATCCAGTAACTATCAGCTGAAATATCATGACCAGGATACCTGTGAGCCCTTACCCTAAATCCCCACATACTGAAGGGAGTGCAAGGAGCTCCTGCTCACTTGCTGTCCCAGTACTGCCTCTGCCRTGATTCTCAACCAGCCTTAAGCAGCATATTTAAAACTGCCTCAGGTATCACACTGCTGCCTCTCTAGAATTGGAGCTGAGCAGCTTTTCCTAAAGACTCATCTTTACTGAGCTTTTTTTAAATTAATGACATCTGTAGAAATTGATACCCAAGATATCATAGGAATTTAACAGGAGCATCTCAGCTGGAAGCTCTTTGAAAGAGCTATGGGATGTGAAGACTAAGCAGCCAAACATGCATTTATGTGAACTCACAAGAAAGATGAAGAACTTCTTCTGGAGGGAGAAGAAAAAAAAAGTTCAGAAATTATTTGATTATTTCTGAATTATTTGATAATTTCTGAATGAATTATTTGTAATTTCTGAATGAAATAATGAATGAATTCATAATGAAATCTGATTAATGGTTGATTATATTCAGATATTATTTGTTAGAGGTAGATAATATACAGTAATAATTCATAAATCATATATTTTTCCCTAATGCACTTTCCCTAGGTCTGAAGCCTAAATTACTTTTAATTTTAGAAAGTATATTGTTTGGAACAAAACCAAGTATAGTTAATGAAACACATTCAAGAAAGTACTAACTGTCTGTAATAAGGTCTTGTCTAATACGCAGAAGTTATACRCCTCTTTGCAGATTTCTTTTCTTTGATGTACAATAAGTCATGCAGCTTTCCAGCAGGTAATCATTTATCAGTACAATATCTAATCCAGAACAAGTGTTTCTGGAGCCATTTCAATAGGAGTGCAGTTAGACCAGTAAAAAGTGCTTTTGAGTACTTCATAGAAAGTGTGCCTAAAAGTCTCTGAGCACGCAAATTGAAATCGACGGTGAATAACTCCCTCTCTTGAATGACCCTAGATGCTACAATTATTTCAAGTCATTAAGGATAGCAGTGCTTATTCCTCTTGAACTTGCTATGTAAAATGCTAGTTAGAGAGTCCCTTRCATGTATCTTCACTCTTACCGGAGCACAGCTGAGATATACAATATAGGCCAAGTGTGGCTGTTGGATTATAGCTTGTTCCTCAGGCAAGTACTTGTTAGTAATGAACAGGGAGACAAAAGCTTGAAAACAAAGCTGTTTTGCTCAGCAGCCCCAACACATCCTTGAAATTCTCACATGTATTCAGGTTCTTCAGACCCTGAAGCTTAGCCTGGTGCTTGGTTTGTATCTCTTCAAAGTACAACTTCAACAAGGACCAGAAGCATAAACTCTCTGAGGAAGAGATGGATTTAATCACAGGTAGGTCCATCGACAACTAACATAACAAGAGCAGACTTGGACTTGAAATTCACTAAAGCRGTTGAGAAGGAAAATGAACTGTTTTTTGTAAACACCTGATTTCTTGTAATCTTCCTTAAACTCTTCTACCACGAAGACAGAGCAGTCTAAAGCATAGTATTGTGCTCAAGTCTACATCAAAATTGCTGCCTGAAGCAGACTTACAGGTAAGTTCATAACTAGCTTAACTAACAGAACTCATATACTAGATGGAGGCTGCAAGGTGCATATGATAGTTAGAAACTGCCTCAGTTAATGGAGAGCTCCATAATTCCATTTTAAAGTCAATTGATCTAGATCAAGTTTCACTATTTGTTCTTAAACATGTTGTTAAAATACAGATTTTCTGTGTATGATAATCTGAACGGGGTCCTAATACATCCTTAGATGCAGTTACTTAGTAATTACTAGTTTGTTTAGTTTTGACTTGCATCTAATCAATATACATTACTAGTTGATTAATAAGTACCTACCAATCCCCCTAACAGTAACTTTTTTAATTAAAATGTTCCATGAATAATATTTCAATGCATACTAAACACCTRCCTATAGGGTTATCAATAATTAATACTTTGGTGAATCATAATGCCCCTAACCAGCATTCAGACACATGAAAACATTAATGAATAAATATTCTCTTTAATTAACCAAATCTATTCAAAGCCAGGCAAACTTATTCTAGACCTGAAAGTCAAGTTCCAACTCTTAAAGCAGAATTTAGTAGAATACCTAAATCCCACCTSCAAACCTGAAGTTAGCAATTCTGCTAATTAAGGACAATTTCATGCATTCCTAAGTACGTTGACTTTACAGCTCAGGAAACAGTAGGGAGGAATTCTTTCCCACAATGAGCATCTTGACCTAACATGAAATCTTACCACAAATGACAAGACAGGAGGATCTATACAATATCTGAAGACAGGAAACAACTGCCAAAAGCAATTCTTGAAGAAGGTCTGAGAACTAGGTTTGTGACATGCACAAATTAATACCATGACATTGTATAAGAAAAGCATCATGCTGGAATGCATAGAGAGTAACCTTGTTCACAATCACTTTGTTCAACCAAGTTTTTGCCAGTGCTAAACTGGACAGCATCCTTCCACATTTAGAATCACCAGTGGAGTAGAGTCCACATACTGCATGACCAGAAACCTAGAAAGTGTAAGACACACACAGAAGTTAGCTCTTATGCAGCATTAGAGAAGACTAGGGAAGGACATAGCAGTATGCCATTAAMTAAGAGGCAGATACATATAAATGAACCAAATTCATCCTCCGGCAGCTCCTTTTGCCTGCTGTCAACAAGGTTAACAGACACATGCACTCAAACATTTGGAAGCTCTTCCAGTGAACACAAGAAAAAAGCATAATACAAAGTAGACAGATAATACTTCTATAAACGCCCCTAATCACAATTCTGTGTTCAGTCAGTCAGCAGCAACACAGGTAGAGTTATTCTTGTTCTGTATAGTGAGGGATCAAGTCTCCCAAGTGATTTAGTTTCAGAGTCTCTTAAGAAACAGTTTGAAATAGCTCATGGGACAAAGCAATTTTAGAAGACAGATCCGACCGGCACATTCTATTTTTTTGCCTCTCCCTGCAGTCAGCCTCCTTACACCGAGAATCAATGTATTTGCCAGGGTAGGCTATAGCACTACAGCACAATGTAGAAATTAAAGGGAAATTGATTGTAAAATAATATCTCTCCAACTCACCACTTCTCAGGCCAAGTCCAACCTATTTGTGATTCAGGTTTGAATTCAATTAAGGAAAAATAAYTAACTGATTGGAAAGAATACACTCAGTTTCTAAGCATTCCCAACAGTTTAAGGAACTTTGTAAAGCATTACACATGCATTTACCAGGAAAAAGGCGTGCTGTGAGCTATACCTCCCCAGTTCCCGTGAATATTCCAGCTAATGCAATCTTACAGATTYGCTCTGATCCACTATATTCTAGTTACAAAATCAGAAGAACAGCTAGGCACAATGTCTTTTTAAAAACATGACAGAAAATGAGTCATTTTGGCATATTCATTAGCCTGGGAATTTGGGGACATATGTATTTTTCTTCCTCCTTATTTTTCTTGGTTTATACGTCAAGAAAATAAATATAAGCTCTTGTACACCTTTATTCTTCACATTGTCCAGCTTGCTGTGACATTCAGATTTCTTCTCTTTCTTCCATTGCACCATAATGCAGAATGCAAAGACTGCATCAAATCAAAATGCTATTTTAATAAATATAGGAATTATCAGGAGAAATGYAACAGTTCTTAGTATGTTTACTTTTATTGCAGTAAGCCCGTAAATCCCATTCCATTTTTATTCAGATGTTTCATTGGCTCCTTGTGGGCTTATACATGCTGGCTCAACTTCATACAAGAGTTGGAACATTCAAGTGAAAGCTCGTAGCCCCTTTGCCAGAAGGATGTGCTTAAGCATTTGCTTCTATGCAGCTRAAGTTTAATAAAAGAGAACTTTATTTCAGCCACTGCTTTGTCCATTAGCTTCATGCTACGTTCTTTCAAAGCCAGAATCAACTGAAAATTTAGCAATGCTAAATAAGCTAACCTAAATACTATGAAATATTGATGCTACTTTGACACTGCCTGACAGCATCTCTACCACCCCAGTGACACAGAAGCAGAGTCATTGTGTTTCTGAGGCTTTCTATTTACGGAGAGCCACCTGTACGCAACATGGCAAAAGCAGAGGTCTAAGTAAGGAGCATATTCCCTGCTGCATAAATCTGATAGGAGACTGTGAGGAGAATAAGATCATCTTCCATAACATACTGTGGGATTAGAGGMCCAGATTTGGGACCAGGCATCATTTGTATTACAATAGCCAGACAACATGGAAGCAACTCACTCTCAGCTGCAAAGTATGATTAAGCATCTCTAGAGGCATACACTCAAATACAAGGAAGGAAGGAGGCAACTATTTCTTCCTTATCTCCCTGCTCTCCCCTCTGCGAACTGGAAAAGATCACGGCCTCCAGAAACATCAACTTCAAACACTTTCCCAGCTTCCTAGACATGTGTGTCAAAAAGGGAGAATAAAATGAAAGAACAGCAAGAGAGAAGGTGAAAATCCTGAAGCCTTTGATGGCGATTCAGTCAGAGCACAGTGATATGAAGAAAGGATGGGAAGAAAAACAACAACAAAAAAACTTTTGTATAAAAAAAGTAACTGATAAGTGTAAAAAGTGATTATCCTGAAAGAACAAAGTCTTTTTTTTTTTTTTTAAAAAGGATGTTTCTTTTATCTATCCAGCTATAATAAAGCATAAAAGAAAACTACACAAAAACAAATCATGCCAAAGTGTCTTTCAAGCCCTCTTTTGAAATAAGTCTATAAGAACTACAAAGTAGCAAATAAAAAATTTTAAAAAAGCACCTCAGTAAAGATTAATTGCAAACAGGAAAAAGAAACAGGAGCCCAAGSCCTCGCTGCCTGTGAGCATAGTACCTTCCTATATCCTACATTCGAGCCACTGCACAGCACCCAGGACAGGCCCAACAAGATAGTGCCGAAAAGAATGAGAGAGTAGGAAATGCCCAAGAAAGACTCCTTTAAATAAGTGTCATCCCAGGTTACTGCAGGAAAAAACGGTACTGAGGTTGGGGAAAAACAGGTGATATTTAACTTACTGCTGATGTCAACAATGCAGCTTGGTGAGGGGCAGAAACAGATGCAACTGCAGCTCTCCCCGAACCCCTGCAAAAAGCCACCAACTATCACTGGTGACATCAATTGGGATCCTTAACCATACACAGTAGGTGTCATATGATCTGTGAAACTTAAAGGCATGATAATATTAAAGATTGCCAGCATATTTATCAAAATCTTGTCGTTGCATGTGCAACTGTAACTGCTAATAAGCAGGCACTTCCAAACAACATTTTTTTTTTGCATTGTCTACTTGAGTTCCATTTTTAATGTATTTTTTTTTATTATTTCCTCACTCTGCTTCACGGCACTTCTCTCCCTGCTCGTCTTCTCTCCCATTAACTGGATTCATTTGGTGCATTTTACTCATTTGCTTGCAGGKCTTGGCTCCCCAGCCTCTGTCTGCACACTTTAATTGGCTTGGAGGGCTACCATGCACCTGGGTTACCATGGCAAAGAAACACGTTTTTTGTGTCCCTGGAAAGTTTCAGGTAAYGCTACCGAGAATTTCATTCATTTTGTTATATAGATTTTTGTCCAAAAGAATCTTCCTTTCCCTTCTCTTTCCCCTGTGTGTTGTTTCACATGCCCTTCGGTTTTATTTTAGTTTCCATAAAATGCCCTCTCTCTTCAAAAGAAAAAAAAAAAAAAAAGTTAAAAAAAAAAAGAAAAAAGCAGTGTATTGCCTCCTCCGTGAGTAGTTATAATACAGCAATTTTACACAGTCATTGAAGAGGAATAACCAGAAATATTCATCTATATTTCTTTACATTCAAGTACTGTTGAGAATGTCTACGTGCATATTCCTATACTTTAAAAGAATCAAACTTACAGAAAATCAAGAGCAGGGAATATAGGTCTCAGAAGTCACTGTGTTATTTTAGTTTTAGACAGCTCATATTACAAACTTTTTCTCTGCTTTCTTCCCGCCCCCTTTTRATATTTCATCTCTTCACACTAAGCTTCATGAGAAAAGGTATGGTTCAAACATAAGGAAAAGCTGATACCRAGTTTCAGTGTCAACTGAGGTTTTCAGGCACATATAGCAAATAAATAAGGACACTCACCAGGAAAGACTTCCCTGGAGGGAAGGAAGACAGTTAGACAAACAAGCTATCCAAAGCCATTCCACCGTTGAATTAAACTACAATTGCTTTCACAGCAGAAGTGAAGCCATTATCAAGTATGCTCATGCATTAAATGGCATATATATGGATATATATAAAATACAAATACACCACATAAAAAATTATAGAAACTGGAATCCACCTGCAATAGTATTGTTCAGTTTCCTGTTCCCCTTCTGATAAACRTAGGGCAACCTCTGAGGTGGAGATTGGAGCTGATCTTGGAATTATTGGGTTAAAAGAGCTGTGAAATAACAAGGAAATGGGAGCACTGAAACATGGTTTCCAGAACAGCTCTATCATAATGTATCTGAACAAACTAGTTTATACACACCACATATCTCATTCTCCCATCACCTGCCCAAAACACCACCCCTTCCCCTCTATGCCGAGTTATGATTTAATAGGCCAAAGTTCAGACCCTTAGAAGAAGGGTCTTTCATTAGGGATGTTCTCCTGAAGTTGTACTATTCTAGCAGTGAAAAGGTTCATCAGCCAAATTAGGAAAAAGAAAGAGCAGGTTAAAAGAAAAAAAAGATAAGGGAGGAAAAAAAAAAAAAAAAAAAAAAAAAAAAAAAAAAAAAAAAACATTAACCACATTTGCCTTTGCTTCTTGTGATGGTCTCTGGCAACAGGTTAGTTAGGTGAGACCAGACCAGACACTGGCTGGAAGCTAAACAGAAGTAGAAGGAAGCTGGTCTGTTGGACTAGAGACTTGACACATTTTCCTCACAACATGCATGCTTGAACTTTGACAAATCAATCCACATTCTGTTCTGAAGAACAGCGATTACACTGCAACACTAACCCACAAGAGGAATGAAGAAATAAATAGGGAACTCCCCATGTAGCAGTAAGAGGCATCTAAGAACTTACATAGAGCAACTTGCATTACATATGGAAGAATATTACATTTCAACTTACACAGCCTTATCTACCAGTCAGTTACCAGATCTTCACTCCCTCCATGAACTCAAAATAACCAGCTAGATCTCAATGCACTAATGAGATACTGACCTGATTTTGCTTAGAGTGCCAACACCTGGACAACACCCAAGAGGAGCTGCCTGACTGGAACACCTCCATCCTCAGCTGCTACAACAGGAACCTAATTATACACTATCTGTTTTGATTATAACACTCACAGATAGCTTAGGCTGCTTTATTACAGTTGCTAGCTGAATTCCAGGAAAACAATTTTAATGTTCCAAATGCAAGCTTATGCCAAATACAAGTCCCTTTTCCCAAGGTATGCTTACTTATATAGTTCATCCTGTTAATCTCCTGCCTTTTCCATTCCTATCCTTCAGAAAATTCTCTGGATGCAGGACTACAGAGTCTTACAAAATCCTAAGAGATGGTCTCATCATCACATGCTTATAGAAGGAAAATTCAGAGAGGGAACTTGGCATAAAAGACTTTTTAACTTGCCTGTAGTCATTGCAACACTGGGCTCGTGCTCTGCTAGCTGCAGGAGACTTGCTGCCTGTGCACCACCAAATACACTGCTGCTCCACTACCAGTCCTCAGAGCACAACAAAATAGCCTCTGATATGTCCCTGGGCTGCCTTACATCTACACAAGTGTATAGCGAGCATGCTGTATGTAAATGATGCTAAAAAACTCTGTGTTTCGGGGTTTGTCAGCTTTGACCCAGTTCAGCAGAACAGGCATTATTGTCCTCAGCTCTCCCCTGTTTCAATGAAAGAAGGGTTGAAGGATGGCTCTTAGCAATCTGCAGGCCCTAACCCATTGAAACATGGCTTTCTGAGCCCTGTTTTATCATCAGTCTGATAAATACAGCCATAAGGTTTTTAAAAAGTAAACATTTAAAAAGAGACCATTGCTCACTGAGAATTGCAGCATCTTTCAGAACAACTTAATAATGGAAATCAGATTTCTGGAGATGCCAGCTTGGTTGGTGAAGTGTTGTATCTTGTTCTTTAGATCCAGCTGTGAGTCAGCACAAGAGCTTCCTTTGCTTCCAACACTAACCTGGCTACAAACAGAATTGCAGGAATGAAACCCAGGCTCTGTGCAGTAAGAATGTCATAGGGAGCATGCACAAGAAAGAGGTGATGTTTCTCTACAATAGACCCAGTGGAGTAAAAAATTACTTTTATGGAAAATAAGCAGCAATGAATCCTGAAAAAATACAGAGCATGTTTTTTAAGCCAGTCAAGTACCTTTTATTTTGTGATTTTATTTATTTATTTAATTAATTAATTTCTGCCAAACTCACATCCAACACCTATTACAAAACTCTCTGTTTATAGCTCAATAACAATCAAGTCTGCCTATATTTATTTTATATTAGTCAAAAGTTGTTCTAGATTCTTCCAAATAACTCCTTTCCATCCATATGACTTTGGCTGTGTTAAAAAAAAAAATGTTAAAAAAAAACAGTATACAATATTAAATTCATATTCAATTTTGAAAGAAGTAGTGTGCTCCCATTAGCACATTCTGCACTGTACTGTACTGATGCACACAGCTAACTCGGCAATTATTTATCTGGTTTCCTTCAGACCTGAAGGATTTACCCAAYGCCTTGATGATCCACCTGGGAAACATCTTGACGATGGTGGAAGAGATCACATCATTCTTCTATTCCTCTCACAGAGGAATACATAGAATCATATATTTCTTGCACGACTTCCGCATACCCCATGCATGATGCGTATCCCAGTGTTATGTATGGCGATGTTCCACTCTGTGGTTCAATAACTAGATTTACACTCGTCAGAAAAAAAGAACAAAGCAAGGTGGGTTGCCACTGGACAGGCTCAGACCWGTGTGGTCCTGTGAATTATCCATGAGCTCCCTATTTGTTCTTGCCTTCCACTTCTGTTTGCACTGCAGATGTGTGATACCACAACACCTCTGCTTTTCCATGACACCCCAGGCAGCTCCTGACCAGCCAAAACTGACACTCAGTTTCACTGCAAACAGAAGAAGGGAAAAAAAATTCCCAGCAACAGAACTCTTTCCATTTCAGCGATGCCCTCTGCTCACAGGACTCAACCAGTTTCCCTTCATTGCAGAATCTCAGAGAGACCTGCAAACTAGGGAAATAATCCCCCCAAGCACCCTCCTTTTCATGTGAGAAGAAGGGATGACTCAGTCCCAAATCCTGCACTATTTCAAGGAGAGAAAAGGAAAAAAAACACACAAAGCACAGAGAAGAATGTCACAACTTTTGAACTCTCCAGTCCTTGGCAAAATCTGTAAAATAAGAGTGACATTCTTCCCATGAGTCACCACCACGGACATTTCACTTCGAGCTCAATAGATTCTCCCTTCCTTTCTCCCTCCAGTCTTGACTCAAATCATTTCCGGACTTGGCTTTTTTTCCTGATGGTACAAAAATATGACTCTTTTATCATGTGATGAGAGTCTCACCTGAAAAGGAATTTGTTTTATTAAGTTGGTGTGGTCTCATGTGAGGCCTGTAGTTAGTGATGTCCCCCCAAGGTCAGTCCTCAGCCCGGTTCTGTTCAATTTATTCATCAATGACCTGGACAAAGAGACAGAGTGCCCCCTCAGCAAGTTTGCTGATGTCATGAAATTGGGAGGAGTAGCTCATASCCTAGAGGGCTGCACTGTCATCCAGAGGGACCTGGACAGTCTGAACAACTAGCTGGAGAGAAACCTCACTAAGTTAAACAAGGGCAAGTGCACGATCCTGTACCTGGGGAGGAATAACCCCAGGCACCAGGASAGGCTGGGGACTGACCTTCTGGAGAGCAGCTCTGCAGAGAAGGACCTGGACGTCATGGTGGGAGACAAGTTGACCATGAGACAGCAGTGYGTCCTCGCAGCCAAGAAGGCCAACAGGATCATGGGGTGCATTAAGAAGAGCGTCTCCTGCAGGTCAAATGAGGTGATTGTTCCCCTCTACTTGGCCCTGGTGAGGCAACATCCAGAGATGGTGTTCAGTTCTGCGCTCCCCAGTAGAAGAGGGATGTGAAGCTTCTGGAGAGTCCAACACAGGGCTCTGAGTATGGTCAGGGGCCTGGAACATCTGCCCTATGAGCAAAGGCTGAGAGAGCTGGGCCTGTTCAGCCTGAAGGAGAGAAGGCTGAGGGGGGACCTGATCAGTATCTACCAATACTTTAAGGGAGGAAGTGAGGAGGATAGGCCCAGACTCTTTTCAGTGGTGATCACTGATAGGACGAAAGGAAATGGCCACAAACTGAAGCATCAAATGTTCTACAGGAACTTAAGGAAAATTTTCTTGACAGTGAGGGTAACAGAGCCCTGGAACAGGTTGCCAAGAGAGGTTGTGGAGTCTCCTTCTCTGGAGAGCTTCACAACCCACTTGGACACAATCCTGTGTAACATGCTCTAGGTGACCCTGCGTGTGGAGGGCTGGTTGGGCTAGGTGATCCCTAAAGGTCCCTTCCAACCTAAAGGATTCTATGATTCTGTGATTCATGAAGAAAACTGAGACTTCTGTCATGGGATCATGTTGGCTATAGCTTTTGTTAGCATTTGAGAGTATTAGTCACACAGAGCTGAATACTTTAGATAGCTTTCAACATGCTGGGATTTACTTTCTAAAAAATAGACTTTTTGAAGAAGATATTAAGAGTTTTTCACCCAAGACGAGTGACATGTCACAATAGACAGCACTGAAGTCTCATGCTAGAATTGTCTTCAGTACAAACAAAGCAATCTATCATATCTAAGTGGGCACTTGCACCCCTATGTTCATAGGTGAAATTATATTCATTTATGTATTTATCTATCTATTTATTTATTTATTTATTGCTTGTGCAGATGTTCTGGGACAAACCACAGTGTATTTCCAGGAGACATCAAAAAAAACCCAACAACATCAACAATAAAACACAGGATAGGAAGCTCATTCCACTGCCTCTGAGTGGGATTGAATCAGACCCCAATTTGGCACCAAACCACCAAGCATGCATCAAGGAATCCACAGAAGAATTTAAAAAATCTGTTATGAAATACAAGAACTTTAACCTCTCAAGTCAATTTGAGGAGAGGAAATAGCCTCATTCTAACCCTAACATCTCTAGTGAAAACTCTTTTTATTGTTTTCTTTATCCGCAATGAAAAAAAAAATGTCAGCAGCACAGAGCACTCCATTGTTTTCTTAGCCTTTTCTTGATTAGTCAAAAAAATACTAGGTCCAAGCCTCTGACCTTCTGAGAACTGCTGAACTATACTCATATGGGTCAACAACTTCAAAGTCAATAACTTTACATACTGTGAGTGATTCTAGACACAGGCTAAAGTGCATATATGGTCAAAGTCTAAATTAGGACAAAGTACTTTGGCACTGAATGTAAGGTCTCAACTGAACATCAGTTCAATGTGACTAATTGTTCATTTTACATTTGGCCACAGAGAGAAAGAAAGATTGAAGCACAACCTGTTACTCTGATTTAAAGGTCTTTATCTGTGAATATTTGGGCAATGAAAGGCAACAACTAGATATGTATCTAAATATTCAAAGTCATGCAATCTATACACAGTTACGTTGCAGCAGAACTAAGAGGGATGATAAAACTTCTCTTTGAAACTACTTAAAAATAGACATTCATAGCACTCACATAAGTCTCCAGTTTGATGTGGTATCATCACTCTTGATGGCATTGGACCATACAAGAGAAGCACAAACCACAGTCATCAACGATGGAAAGACAGCCTTTACCTAGCAAAACCTCAGATCTTCCACATCAGCACAAAAACAAACTCCTCAACACATCCATGACAGAATTTCCATCTCCAGCTTCTTCAGTCAAGGTACCAAATCCCATTGAAAAGGATTTTATCACTCTTACATAATTTAAGTCCACATAAACCAGAAATCTCAGATCAAATACCCCAATGAAATACAATAATTCCTTTATATGGCATTCTTGCCYTAATAAAGTCAAATACCAGCTTCCTTAAACAACTATTAACCCCTCTGTTTTTCCACATCAAGAGGGAGTATGGCATCCACG